TACATATATACACACATGTATACTGGAACCACGCGCGCTTCGCACGCGCAAAGGTTCTAGCAAGCTCTATGCGTAGTTTGCAGCGTGCGGTATTGGAGGACATAGATTGTCGCTCGGGCCATGCCCCTCAAGGAGCTCCACATGCGACCCCAGAGACAGGCTTGGCTAGCGTTCCCCCGCCCTTGTCGGCACACCCCTCACAAGGATCGCGCCCCCCAGGGAGCTCCACCTAATTACGTCCCATGAGACAAGGTTCGCATAGTGGCACGCCCCTCACGCGGATCCTCTTCGGGTGTCTCGGTACCCTCTTCGGAGAGTCTTGTTTGGGGAAACCTCGCGCTCTCGTCTTTCCGGGCAGCGGCAGGCACAAAACGGCGCGAGAGTCCCTGCAAACTAGCCCGAGACGGTCCAAGAGGCCTTCCCCTGGAGCCTGGAAGCGGCCCTCCTTGGCATCAAGAGACGGCCAACGGAAGGACCCTCGAGAGGCCCCCAAAGGGGGGGCCCGAGAGAGAGAGGCCCGAGAGAACCCGCAGGGACCCCGGGAGCCCTCCCCCACGAGATGGCGCCCAGGATCCCCAGCCTGACCTCCGCATCTCGGCGACGACCAGGAACGGGCCTCACGCGAGATGGCACGGCGACCTCACGCCGCGGCTCACGCGGGCCGCCAGCGCCGCACGCTGCACTGGAGACGAGGGCGCGTACGCGCCCTGGCGCGGGCAGCTTGCGCGCCAGTGTCGGCGCAGTCGACTCCATTGTCTGGCGTCGCCCATCTGAGAAGCCTGGCTCCCACTGCCCAAGCGCAGCAACTCGCAGCACTGTCTTCTCGCCCCTGGGGCAAAGTGCTGGGGAAGTACAGGACGGGTCGAAACGTTTGCAATGCCGATGTTGTGGGATTTGGGAGAGCAAAGCGTATCAGGGGCAGGAGCAGCGGCCGCAAAGGCAGGACTGGCAGGACTAGCAGTACTGTAGGAAGCAAGAGCGGCAGGACAGGCAGGAGCGGAGTAGGAGGGAAAGCGACGGTAGCAGTAGTAGCAGGAGCAGGAGTAGCAGGAGCAGTGAGGGAAGCGATTGAATGGAAAAGTTGTGATGCGCATCTGGGCATGATGCCGATCCATGGTTGGGGGGGTCGCAGGAACACGATGCATGGCGGTTCCCACGCGCGCGAAGCACACCCAATTACATGCCCGCTCGGACGGAGCCCTCTGGCCGCCATCCACCTCCCCCCCCCTTTATTCCCCGTCGTCGTCCTCCTCCCTTGTTCCCCCAGCTGCCGCGCTGCCCGTGTCTCCGGGCTGGGCGAGGAACGGATTTGCCTTCTCGGTCTTCACGTCCAAGGCAGAGCCAGCCTGGGTGCCGGCAGAGGTTCGCTGAGGGGCAAGGTCGGGTCCTGGATCTACGCCACGAATAAATATACACCGACAGCCACCGACGAATTTCGCAAGTGCCTCCAGGGAGGGTGGCGGTGTATAAGATCGCTGACTTTCAACGGCGATACATACACCGCCACACTCTCCCGAGGGCCCAGGAATAATCCATTGGGGGTTGTCTGTGCAAGTTGGGGGCGGTTGACAAAATTCCGCGGCATCTTGGCCATGGCAGCAGAGCCCAAAATCGAATCGATTAATCGGATCGGAGATCGAAATGAGTCGAATCGGTGGAAATCGGCAGCTGGGTCGGGAGAAGTCGAATCGGAGGAAATCGGCAGGCTGAAAAGTACCCATTGAGAAATCTGAATCCACATCGGAACCGGAAGTTATGCTGCCCCCGTCGCACTTAAGGACCACATCCCAGGAATAATTTCGAGCACCCAGAAAAGGATCGAAACAGTGTCGAACGAGAATCGCCTCCCAGGGCCCGACACGTGAAAGCACTCCAGTTTTGGCACTCCAGCTTTGGCACTCGAAAATATTTCTGCCCATCAGAATGAGTGCCCCTTATGAGTGCCCCTTATGAATGCCCCTTACGGTGGCCCACATTGCTTTGCTTCTTCTGTTTTCGGTTAGGGCCAAGGCGCACCCGAACATATCCAGGAGGGGAAACTTCGCAGCCAGCGGCAGCCCGCGGCGGGGGCGACAACCGCGCGAGGGAGGCGCCACGGCGAAAGAGGTTTCGAAAGAAGACAACACAACTTGGGAGAGAGCGAGGTGAACGAGTGAGGTGAGCAAATAGATTGAGCAAAATGAGAGATCGAGGCGCACGAAAGAGGTGCGAGAGCGAGGCGAGACCGCGAGGTGAGTGAGTGAAGAGTGAGGTGGGAGAGCGAGGTGAACGAGTAAGGTAACGAGAGAGGAGAAAAAATTGACATTAGAGAACTACGTGATATTCAGCGGGTGGAAATACATGTCTGCGCATGCCCGCCCCATGGGCGCGCGCTGGCCTGCACGCGAAGCAACGCGCTCGTAAACCTTCCACGAAGGATGTGTGCCAGAATACGCGTGCCGCGCTTCATGAACCCAAGCCGTTGGCCAAGGAGGTCTTTTGAAATGGGCAGACGCGGCGGTAACGATGCCCTGGCCCCCAACCGGTGGCCCCCCCTGGGAAACGTCGGGCCCAGCGTTGGCGCGCCCAGAGGAAGTCTCGGGCTGGCCTTCTCCTCCTCCTCCTCCTCCTCCTCCTCCTCCTCCTCCTCCTCCTCCTCCTCCTCCTCCTCCTCCTCTTGATCCTCCCTCCTCATCCTCATCCTCGCCCCTCCTCCTCCAAGGCCGTCGGGGAAGCCGTCGCGAACGGCCTAGAAAGGGCGAGGCGGGGAGGGCGAGGGAGAAGGCGAGCGAAGGGGGGCCAGGAGGGGAGACGGGAAGGAGAGGGTGCCCACTGATGTGCCCACTAATTTTTGGAGCGCGAATCCCCTGTCAAAAGCAATGCAGACAGCCATGGAACCTTCCTGGGCGCAAGTTATCATCCCCAGGACGGGCGCCGAACAAGGTTCCCGAAGGTAAGGGTCACACCCCGATAGTGGTCACACCCCGGTCAGTGGTCACACCCAGATAGTCAGAACTTTGCGTCGCCATCGGAGTCATTCCGCCTGGGGCCTGCTGCCCGTGCCGCCGCGCGCCGTGCCGTTGTGCCGCGTCGTCCGCGGGAGTCAATGCAAATTCCGAGGTCGTCGCCAGCCGATCTGAACTGCAACAGTGCGAGCACTGCTTGGGCCATGCCATTGTGGTTGCTCGCGGGCCCGGAGTGCATGTGACCACCATCGGGGTGTGACTGTTGGGGTGTGACCACTCTTCGGGTACGAAAACCATTGGGATGTGACCACTATCGGTGTGTGTGTGTGGGTGACGAATCCCGTGAACTGTTTTCAGCCGACGCGCGGCGCAATGGCCTGGAGGTCGTGCGCCGCCAGCAGGCGGAGTGTTCAACGTCAAAACCAAGGCATTAATCAAGGAAAACAGCATCGTTGGCACACTTGGCAATGTAATGCTCAATGTACGCGAAAGCAGCCTGGTTTGTACTCTCGAAAAAGAGCCAATAAAATAACGCTCATAAAAGCACAACTTCCAAGTTCAATTTCTGCCTCGTTTGTTGATGCAGGCGCTATAACTTTGAAAACGCAATGACGAACACGATGCTACCGTCGAAAAGTGATACTGGAAACACGGATGCGATTATTGTTACGACAGCCAGGCGCGCGGTCGCGGCGCTGACGCGGCATCAATTTCCCGCGCAGCTTCCGAAGGAAAACAATAGTGGGTTGGAGTGGAGCATCAGAAACCCGAATTCTAATCGAACCGGAAGCGAAAGCCATCGAAACAGGACCGAAAATCGGCGGAATCGAGACGAGCCCTGCACGGTCAGCGCGCTTCGCCCCTCGGCCTGCGCTGCCCGGGGGCCGCTCCGGGGCCGCCAACCTCTTCGGGAGCCCCGGGGGAGGGGGCGAGCAGCGGAGGTCCAACAGAAAGCCCAGAAGTTTGGCCAGCCCTTCTGGCCCGCAGCGGGGGGACGGCGCGCGCAATCCTCCCTCCTTGCGGGGCGGGGCCGGATCCCACATCCGACGCCGGGGCAACCAACGTCATGGGGCCCCAGCGGGTGGCGGACATGGCTGCACTTCGGCCACGGGGGGCCCGGATATGTCCGTATCCACCGCCTGTGGAGGTCCCCGAAGAAGGTCGATCTCCCAGGCGCTGGTTCTGGATAAATCCCCGCCTCGGACTCCTCGAGTAGAGAAACAAAAAACTCCATGCGCATAAACTTTCGGAGCTCCGAGCGGGTTTCTTGGATCGGCGCCAGGGCCCCGCGGGCAGCGCTTCCAGCGTTGCCCCTGGCACGCTACGCGCGCCAGGGTAGGGAGGTTCAGCGCCGATTGAAGAAATCCGCACGGAGCTCTGAAAGTGTAGGTGTGTGTGTGTGTGCAGCTGTTTCTTCTTCGATCGAGGTCCTCCTCGAGGAAACAATTTTTCCTCGAGGACCTCGAGGAGGACAAGTGGGGAAGAAACTACAGCCACCGAACTCGTGGTCGAATCGTTGCTGGAAGCTTCGCGAATCGAATCTTCAGCCACGGCGATTCGATTCGCCGAGCCAGATCGAATCGTGTGCGGCGCTGAGAGGGGGGATCGAAGTATTTAGACATGTTTCTGCTTTTTGCGGACCTGCAGAGGCCTGCGGAGGCCACCAGAGGCATCCGCGGACCTTCGAGTACCTCCGAAGCGCTGCTACGGGAGAGGCCAGTCCGCATCTGGAGTAACCCCCTCACCTCCTGCTCGTCCTCCTCCGCCTTCCCCTCCTTCCCCCCTCTTCTCCCCCCCTCCTCCTCCTCCTACCCCCCCCCCCCCCGACTCAGCTGTGACGTGGCAACTGCCCAAGCAGCGTATGAAATGAATCTGCAGCGCCACCCTAAATTACTCACCTCGACTGGCCGAGAGGTATCCTCGATCTCGTCCTCCTCCTGCTCCTCCTCCTCCTCCTCCTCCTCATCCTCCTCCTCTTCCCACACTCCATTCCTCCTCGTCCCCCCTCCCTCACTCATCTTTTCCCCTGCTCCTTCTCCTCCTCCTCCTCCTCCTCAGCCTCCTCCTCCTCCTCGTCCTCCTCCTCCTCGTCCTCCTCCTCCTTATCATTATCATCATCATCATCATCATCATCATCATCATCATCATCATCATCAGCAGCAGCAGCAGCATCATCAGCAGCATCATCACATCATCATCAGCAGCAGCATCATCAGCATCATCATCAGCATCATCAGCAGAAGCAGCATCATCACAATCATCATCATCATCATCAACAACAGCATCATCATCATCATCATCATCATCATCATCATCATCATCATCATCATCATCATCATCATCATCATCATCATCATCATCAGCATCAGCATCATCATCATCAGCATCATCATCATCATCATCATCAGCATCATCATCATCATCATCATCATCATCAGCATCATCATCATCATCAGCATCATCAGCATCATCAGCATCATCAGCATCAGCAGCATCATTATCAGCATCCTCATCATCAGCAGCATCCTCATCATCACATCATCATTATCATCATCATCATCATCATCATCATCATCATCATCATCATCATCATCATCATCATCATCAGCATCAGCATCAGCATCAGCATCATCAGCATCATCATCAGCAGCAGCAGCAGAATCGTCATCGTCATCGTCATAATCATCACCACCACCACCACCATCATCATCATCAGCATCATCATCATCATCATCATCATCATCATCATCAGTTTCAGCATCAGCATCATCACCACCACAATCATCATCAGCATCATCAGCATCATCAGCATCAGCATTAACATCGACACCATCATCATCAGCAGCATCATCAGTATCATCATCGTCATCAGCATCATCATTATCATTATCCTGCTCCTCCTCATCAGCATCATCCTCCTCCTCCTGCTCATCCTCATCTTCCTGCCCCCCTCTCCTTCCCGACGTCCCCCTCAAAGCTCAGCAGTGGGGGCCTCCGTAGGGGTCCCTGCGATCACAGGAAGCGACGCACAACGCCACCCGGGCGAGCCGAGAGGTAGACAACACAACTCGGTGTGTCTCCAGCGGCCACCGCCCAGAAAACAGATGCGAAGGAAGAACGGTGGATCGATTGATCGATCGATCGAGCTGTTGGGATCCCGTCCTGGTCCACTGCATCAGAGAATGGGCAGATGAAGGAGGAGAGGCCAAACGATCAATCGAATTGATCATGGAACACGTCAATGAATAATAACTCCACTCATCTATCCATCATGTGAGAAGATTGAGTCATTGGTATTCATGGTCTGTCTGCTCGGCGCCTTTTCTCGCCTATCACCTCAAACCTCCAAACTCACCCCCGCCACCCACACAATCACATACACACACAGGCGCACACTCTTCCCAACGATAACCATTGATGCCCATCGGAAAGCCATGAATCAGAGGCAGCCATGGGTTTTTGATTCGCACAATCGCTTGCCGAATCAGAGATCGCCACGCAGGACAGCTGGCAAGAACGATTCAGTGAGATGGCATGGGATGGAATTACATACACACACTGGTGTTAGTAAAAACGACAAGGCTGGCCCTCTTGACAACGATGCTGACCCCAGAATGCGAATGAAACCGCAAAAGCTGGAAACGCGAACCTGGAATTCCCGAAATGGTCTTAAAGCTTTGCATCGCAGCACGTAAAGACTTGCAGGCGACATACGTAATACGAAAACGAAAGTGTCGACGCCAACAACCTACGACCGCGAGTGTCCGATTTGCTGGTGTCCGAAGAGAAGATTAACGAAAAGGCCTTGAGGAAGGCTGACACGTCACCTGCCGTAATCTGGTTCGCGATGACCGAAATCTTCATCGTCACAATGAGCTTAAACATCATCCTGACGGGCAAGATCGACCCCGTGAACAACCCACGCGTAGCACTCGTCGTGAGAGGTTGCACATACGTCGACAAAAAACAATAAAATATTGTACGAACGTAAGTATGGTCCGCAATTTGCCGATCCCTGTCTGTGCAGGAGATTGCCTTGGCTCGACTATCTGCATATCGGCATCCACCTCCATCTATCCGCCTGCTTCTTCGATGCATTTCCCCCTCATCGTGCTCCCTTGATCCGCTTCTTACAATCCTCATCCTAATATGGTTCGTCCGTTTCATCCGCCAACTTTTTCAAGTCTGCGTCGCACTGCTGATCCTCACTCTCCTAGCTAAATGCCAACACGGACAGCATCAAAACGCCCTCCCCATGATCCCCGCCTCTGCAAGCACATGCCGCCCCCCCTTCCATGTTTGATTCCTTCGGTCCCGCCCCTCCTCTCTCATCCTCTCCTCTTCTCCCCTCCCCTGCCAAGACATCCCCTGCCCCCCGTTCCCTTCCCTCCCCTGCCTCCCCCCCCCATCCTCTCCCATACTTCCCTCCTCGTTCCCTCTTTTCCTGCGTGCGCCCATCCGTCCCATCTCCCCGTCCGTCCGTGGATCCGCCCGCGCATCCGGCGATACACGACCCACGCTCCCCCATCTCCGCATGGCCTGCTCTCAAGGACCGACGACGACTTGAGGCGATGGCCTGCGCTCTCCTCCTCCTGCCGGGGTCGGATGTGCGCCCGGCGTGACACGGAGAGGAGGCTCGGCGGGCAGCTGCGCACACGCGCTCGGGGCTCCATGGCTCGTTCGAGGGCCGTGGGTCGGCGGCGCGCCCGGGGGGGAAGCGAGAGGGAGCGGGGCTTCTCAGAAGCCCTTCTGGCCTTCCGAGAAGCTTCTCCGTCTTCAGAGAGTGCTGAGGAAACTTCTCGGAAGGCCCGAGGCCCCTTCCGAGCCTCCTGGGAGGGCCAGTCCCCCCTGATTGCCCCCTCGGGTTCGCCGCCGAATGGATATTCCTCGGACCACCCCTGCGCAAAGGAGGCCACGTTGGGCGCGGGCGGTCTTGTCGCGCTCGAAGAGGCCGCGGTTCATATACCTGTACACCTGGCTGGGGGGGGCGAGGAGGAGGGGACTGACAAGGAGGGGAGGAGCGAGGAAGAACGAGGGGAGGAGGGGATTGAAAACGGGGACGAGGAGGAAATAGGAGGAACGAGGAGGAACGAGGGGAGGATTGAGAAGGGGGGGATTGAAAAGGAGGGGAGGAAATGGGGAGCTCGGGGCAATGGTTTTTGCTGTGGACAGTGCAAGACAGGCTTCCAAGGAGATTGGCACGCAGGACAACGAGAAAAACACAGAAACCCAGGGGCACCGAATCCGGCCATCAACTAAGATAGTAAAAAGCACAAGCAACAAACAACACAACACATACGTCATCTTCATTCTCTCCCCTCCCCATTCTGGGGAAACCAAATAGTACCGATACCGCTACTCCCCGCACCTCTCCCGGGGCGCGTTCTGACCAGCATTTCGAGGCGAATCCAGCGGTGGCGACGAGGGCCTCCGAGGAGGCCCGACAAGGAGAAAACAAGGAAAGGGCAGAGGCATGGGTACCTACCTGTTCCTTCCCTCCCCACTCCAACCAGCTCCTGCCGAGGACGAAGCCCTCCTGAGGTCTCCGGAGGCCCCCAGGGGCCCCCAGAGGCCCCCAGAGGCCCAGGCCCAAAAGTCGGCTCAGGACCTCAACCCTCCGCCCGCCACGGGCGCATCGAGCCTCGAGGGAGGGAGGAGGGGGGCTGGCAGCCCTGCGTAGCTAGTCTTAGGTCGGGCGTGTCCCCCTACAGGCGGATTTTGGATGACAAATCAAAATATTCAGAAATACCCCAACATGGTCAAAAAGTACTCAAAGCATCGTACCCAGACTATTTTTTGACTATTCAGAAATACCCCAACATGGTCAACAAATGCTCAAAACATCGTACCCAGACTATGTTTTGACTATTTTTGAATAGTCCTCCTGTAGATGGACAGGCCCGATGTGAAGCTAGTTCTTGGGCGTCCCTCTTCTCTACCACTCTTTTTTTTGTTTGTTTAGTTATTGCTGCCGACGTGAACAGGTGACGACATCCTCCAAAAGCGGGTGGGCGAGGCCCGCCTGGAGTCAGACATGCCAGATGAGAAGCCCGAGAGCACGACTTCATCGCAACTCATGGCATGGCTGCTGGGACGGCGCAGGACACGTGAGAGACAAACGGTGCACCAAGGCGGCCTGATACACAAGCTCACGCGCATAGGCACATTGCAAATCAGTCGGACCCAGCCTCAGAGTCACTTCAAGATCCCTTCCTTTACCACTTCCTGTTCACCACCTTGTACGTTGTGCTCTCTGTCCCTCTTGTGCCTCTCCCTCGCGGGCCAGCCGCATCACACCCGTCGGCCTGCTGCTGACAGCTGCGGCTGGGCGCCTCTCTGTCCCACCACCTTGCTGCCCCTTGCGCGGTGCTGCCTGGCTCCGAGCGCGACAGGGCGGGCGGGCATCGGCCCGCCGATACTCACGCCACGAGCTCTCGCTCCGCCGCTTGCCTAATGAAGAGGAAGAGGAGGAGGAGGAAGACTGGCACGCCGGGCCCACCCGCCCGGGCCCACCCACGGAGCTCCTAGAGGCCCACCCACCGAGGGGCGCAGCGAGACCGGCCGCAGGTGCACGGAGCGGCTCCGGCACGCGTCGAAGAGGCGCCCTGCGCTCGTTCTCTCGAGCCGCCCGGCCAGAAGTGCCCCCCCAGCCCCACGCACGGCTGGACCCAGGACAGAGGAACATCTTCCAAGAACATGAGACCCTCCGCCGGCCAAAACACGCTGAACATCTTAGGATATCCTCCCCCAGGATGCACAAGAGCATCCAACGCTCACGAAGAGCATCAGGGTATCCTCCCCGAGCCGATCGCGATCTTATACCTCGGTCCGACCGCATGCTCAGGCGCTCGGTCTCTTGTTCGGCTTGGGAGAAGAAGGAGGTAGAGGAACGGAGGCGACCGCAACACCTCGAGTATCCCGTGCACTCCGTGGCGATGCGCGGCAGACCTGACCAGTTGCTTGATTTACGGCAACAGCCCAGAAGTATCGGGCGCTCGGACTCTTGTCAGGTCGCTCGTGCGGTGCGTGTTGTCTGCGCGGCGTGCAGCACGCGTGTGCACCCGCCCAGGCCAATATTGGTCGTGCTGTGCCGGTCCCCGCTGTCGTTCCTTTCAGCGGTTGGCTGATGTAGCCCTTTCGGGCGGTGTCCATTGGAATCCTTCTGACGTTCTTAATGACTCGGTTGGAATAGGTTCTGACTGACCCCCTTCCTCCTCCCTCCCCTTATTTTCTCTTGCCGTCATGCCTCCTCCTCGTCCTCATCCTTATCCTCATCCTCATCCTCCTCATCCTCCTTCCCCTTCTCTTCCTCCTCCCACTCCTCAGTCGAAGGGGATGGAAGGAGGTGGGGGAAGGGAGCACAGGAGCGAGAGAAGAGGAAAGCGAAGGCCAGCATAAGGGCGGAGGCGGAGGCTCGTGCCCCCGCCTTCCCTGCCGCCGCTCCAGCCCCACCACGCGGAACCGATCGAATGCGCCGTGCTCACCTCGCCATCGCTCGGACGTCCATTCCCCGTGCATGTGTTTTGTGTCGGACTCGTGCATTTGCGCATTGTCGATCCCGTGCGTCTGTGCATGTGTGCATTGTCTATCTCGTGCATGTGTGCATTTGAACGTCCATTCCCCATGTAGTTGTTGATCTCGTGCGTTCATTTTTGGGAAATGGTCCAAGATGCTCCGCAATGGTCCTCGCTGAGGAAAACCACGCGCACATCCGAGCGATGCCACGCACCTGGTACGTCAGGAAGTGGATGATCTTCTCGACGCGCTTCGAGGTCGGCTGGGCCTTCTCGGAGTTCTTCACCGAGATCTCGAATTGCCCGAGGAACTGCGGGGCGGCGCCGCCGCCCCCCCCCGAGCGGCAGGGATGGCAGGCCCGAGACGCCGCTCGGCGGAGCTTCCGCCAGCACCGACACGCATCCTCGTGGCCGCCGCCCCGGGGCAGCGCGCGCTTGCCGCGCGAAACAGGGACGGGCAACAAAAGGAGGTGGATCGGAGGTGAGGGGGTGAGAACGAAAAGGAACGGAGAGCCCCCCTACCGGGAAATCGATTTCGGTTTCGTGTTCGTGCGTGCCGTGCGTGCGGGCGAGGCGAAGCTGCGTGGGCGGGCGAGAAGAAAGTCTCCTGTGGCTGAGGCGCGGCCAGACAAAATGTCTCCCTTCCGGGCGGCCGGTGGCCCGCGGTGTCCCGCCGGTGTCCCGCTGGTGTCCCGTGTGGCTGAGGCGCGGCCGGACCAAATGTCTCCCTTCCGGGCGGCCGTTGGCCCGCGGTGTCCCGCCGGTGTCCCGCGGTGTCCCGCGGTGTCCCGCGGTGCCCCGCGATGTCCCGCCGGTGTCCCGCGGTGTCCCGCGATGATGATGATGATGATGATGATGATGATGATGATGATGATGATGATGATGATGATGATGATGATGATGATGATGATGATGATGATGATGATGATGATGATGATGATGATGATGATGATGAGGATGGATGTGACGATGATGGTGATGGTGATGGTGATGATGATGATGATGCTGCTGATGATGATGATGCTGATGATGATGCTGATGCTGATGATGATGATGATGATGATGATGATGATGATGATGATGATGATGATGATGATGATGATGATGATGATGATGATGATGATGATGATGATGATGATCGAGTGAGATCGAGTGTGAGATAGATCGAGTGAGATCGAGTGAGATCGATTGTGAGATCGATTGTGAGATCGATCGAGGGAGATCGATCGAGCGAGACCGATACTGAGATCGATAGTGAGATCGATAGTGAGACCGATCGAGTGAGACGTTGGTTCCTCCCCCCCCCGAACCTCCTTATCACC